GGCGGTGGGTGGTGATGACTAGCTGCCTTCCCTCTAGTCTTACACTGCTAAATTAGGGACGGCTAGCGCAGATAGCCCTCGTGTAGCTTTGCGCGAAATTCCAAAACAAACAAACAATGCAAGACAGGCTGCTCAAATACAGGAATAGACTTTGGAACAACGTAAAGTTAGACTTCGAGCTCAAGCTGAAAGGCAGGCTACTCAAAGACAGCAAGAAACTATTGAACAGCACAAAGCCAGAGTTCAGTCAGAATCATCAAGGCAAGCTGGATATAGACAACAAGAAACTTCTGAACAACGTCAAACCAGACTTCAAGCACAAAAATTGAGACATATATCTTACAGAGAGCAAGAAACAGAGGAGCAACATGATGTACAACTTCAGGCTCAATGAACAAGACAAGCTCAAACACGATCTAATTTCAAAAATTTTAATTTTTGTTTGATTAAATGCGTTTTTATTTCTCGCATCACAGCTTTTGTCTACTTACTGAATAATTTGCTGAAAAAATACTGAACATTTCAAATCTACATTTTCACCGTGCAACGCCGGGTAACCCAGCTAGTATATATATATATCAGTGAGAACTGTTAAACTTGTCCATATTAAGGTACTGGGATCTAATACATAATTTCATATTAGATAACACATTAAAAGAGTACAAAAAAATTCGTTTCACGTGTTTAGTATTAATTAAGGTATTGAAGAGCTCACTGAATGGGCTATCTGAGTAACTCTGCTCTGTCCACCTCGGGGAAATCAGCCCTAGATTTTAGCGTTGTAAGTCCCCAAACTTGCCACTGCCCTAATGAGAAATACTGAGGATGTAATACATATTGTTGTACGTTTTTTATATTTATAAATTTAGGCGTTTGTATTGTTGTTAGCCAGTGAGAATTTTAAGTCTTGTGACGAGTATGGCTTAATGACTACAACCTTCTTGAAAGTTAGAAAACAATATCAGGAGTATCGAACACGAATTTTGCTAATGTAGTTAGTTAATTATTTATTAATTTCTGAGTCTTTTACAATGGATGATCGATCATTGAGTTAGCGAATTTGTTTGTTTAGTTTTCTGAATATTGAGTTTGTGTTTCGTCGAAGAAATAGAGATACAACTTACAAGAAAGTGCCATGCGTACGAGAGTAGTTAGCAAGTAAGTGAAATTGTTGTTTTAACATTTATTATGGACATTAAAAAATAACGAAGCTA